AATAATCCTGTGTCCAGTTTTGGGCACCAGAATTCAAAAAGGACATTGAAAAGCTGGAGCATGTCCAGAGGAAGGAAACCAAAATGGTGTAGGGTCTGGAAACCATGCCTTATGAGGAGAGACTAAGGGAGCTGGGTATGTTTAACCTGGAGAAGAGAACGTTAAAAAATTATATGATAGCCTTGTTTGAATATTTGAAGGGATATCATGTTGAGGATGGAGCAAGCTTGTTTTCTGGTGTCCCAGAGACTAGAACACAGAACAATGGATGCAAGCTATTGGAAAAGAGATTCCAACTCAACATTAGGAGGAACTTCCTGACAGTAAGAGCTGTTTGACAGTGAAAGATGCAGCCTCCGAGTGTGGTGGAGTCTCCTTCTTTGGAGGTTTTTAAACAGAGGCTGGATGGCCATCTGTCGGGGATGCTTTGACTGAGAGTTCCTGCATGGCAGAAGGGGGTTGGACTGGATGGCCTCTTGGGATCTCTTCCAACTCTGATTCTATGATTCTATAAATCCACGCATTCTATGCAACTATTTAATGATTCTTATCCCCAGGAACCCCAGCTCTTGGGATCCTGGGATGTCAAACCATATATCCTGGGTCTTTGGGGGAAGCAAAGGTCATGGTGACCAGTCAGAAGTAATTGAAAGTGACATAGCTGGCGCTTCCTTGGGAATGTTTTGTGCAGGCGATAGAGATGAGCTGAAGGGCCGGCCGCTGACCTCTATGTCAGGAGGATGTGCAGATAATCCGCAGTGAGACTGATTTGAACCTCTGGGCAGAATGGCTGTCGTTCAGTGCCAGAACATTTGCTTTGCACATACAAGGTCTCGGGTTCAAATCCGGGCACGGCCAGCTAGGAACTGATAGGAAGGATGCTCCAGGCAGAGTAATGCTGTTCTGAATCCGAGTATGTTGTTGTTTGACATCAAGTTGACTTTGACTTATGGTGACCCTTTGAAACAGGTCCTTTCTGTGATGGTCATTTTCAAAGAAGGAGCCGCACGAGTCTGTTGCATCCAGAGTGGCCAGATGTCCTCAATGCGAAAGAGGGGAAGGCACTGCAAAATGGAGGCATTCCAGAACAATGGAGGGCAGCGCCAAATAAAAGTTAAAAACACTGATATAAATATAAATTCATGTTTATGGTTTATTTACAGCTATATTACTACATATATTTTATTTGATTATCCGAAAGCATCCAAAATACACCAAACAGTGATACCTTTACTGGGCCAACCGAAATGCACAAGATACTCGTTGCAAGCTTTCGAAGCTCCACCAGCTTCTTCATCAGGCAAGGTATTATAAACCATACAGCTCACAACATGTATATTCTGCATTTTGGTTGGCCCAATAAAGCTATCATTGTTTGGTGGATTTTGGATGTTATTGGATATGCTATATGGCCAACACGGCTATCTCTAGATGTATTTGATTATGTTTGTTGTCGTGTGCCTTCAAGTCAGTTCTGACTTATGGCAACCCTAAGGCAAACCTATTGTGGGGTTTCCTTGGCAAGGTTCTTCAGAGAGGTTTGCCACTGCCTTCCTCTGAGGCTGAGAGAGTGTGACTTGCCCAAAGCCCCCTAGTGGGTTTTATGTCTAAGCTGGGATTTGGACCCTGGTCTTCCAGTGTCCTAGTACAACACTCAAACCACTACACCACACTGTCCCTCAACCAGATTTTTCTGATTAACTTATCTATGTTCCTATCTTTGTATAAGGTGTACATGAAATACAAATGCATTTGATGTTTAGACTTGGGTCCCACCTTTTTACATATCTCATTATGTATATGCAAATATTCCAAAATCTGATAAAAATTAAAATCCAAAACACTGTCTGGTCCCAAGCATTTCGGATAAGGGAATCTCAGCCTGTAACAGATGCTGTGGACCGAAGAGGGATGCTCCTGGACCAGACTGGAAGGACATAGGACATTATCTTGTATAGTAGGATGCTCATGACGAAACAATGGAATTGCTGGGGTTGACAACTGCTGTCAAGTCAACTTTAACGCATGACTTTGACCTATGATGGCTTTGAGATATGACAGACCTCCAAGTTCCCTGTTATCAGGACTTGTCTCTTCCTGTATGGCAGAATGGGGCTGGACTGGATGACCCTTGGGGGTCTCTTCCAACTCTAGGATTCTATGATCAGGTCTTGCAAATTCAAGTCAGTCGTGGCTTCCTTGATGGAGTTTATCTATCCGTATTGCCATCTCCCACTTTTCCTATTGCTTTCTACCTTACCAAGCATCATAGTCTTTTTTAAGGAGTTATAGAATCATAGAATTGGAAGAGACCCCAAGGGCCATCCAGTCCAACCCTGTTGTGTCATGCAGGAACTCACAATCAAAGCACTCCAGACAGATGGCCATCCAGCCTCTGTTTAAAGGCCTCCAAAGAAGGAGACTTCATGACACTCCAAGGCAGCATCTTCCATTGTCAAAAAGCTCTTACTGTTAAGAAATTCCTCCTAATGTTGAGCTGGAATCTCTTTTCCTGGAGCTTGCATCCATTGAGGCTCCATTGTGTCCTATTCTCTGGAGCAGCAGAAAACAAGCTTGCTCCATCCTCAATATGAGATCCTTTCAAATATTTAAACAGGGATATCATATCCCCTCTTAACCCTCTCTTCTCTAAGTTAAACACCCCCAGTTCCCTCAGTCTCTCCTCATAGGGCTTTATAGTTTCCAGACCCTTGACCATTTTGGTCGCCGTCCTTTGGACACGCTCCGGCTTCTCCACATCCTTTTTGAATTGTGGTGCCCAGAACTGAACACAGGATTATTCCAGGTTCGGACTAGAGAAGTCATGCCTTCTCATTATATATCTGGCCCTCCATATCCATGGATTTTTTTTAATCCACGGATTCAAGTATCCGCAGATTGAAGACATTCCAAAAAATACAAATTGCAAAAAGCAAACCTTGATTTTGCTGTTTTATATAAGGGGCACAATTTTATTGTATTTAATGGGATTTGAGCTGCCAAGGATGTTGGTATCCACAGGGCATCCTGGAACTAAATCCCAGCGGATACCAAGGGCTCTTTGTATGTCCAAAGTACAATAGCCTCACTTCAACCATCTTGGCTTCTGGGAAGATTTCAAGGTGCATCGGCACTGTAGGAATAATGCTCCAGCTCCATCCTACAGAGTCCTGGGATCTGTAGTTTTACAAGGTCAGTAGCTTCTCTGGCAAAGCATGCCTCATAGAATCATAGAATTGGAAGAGACCACAAGGGCCATCCAGTCCAACCCCCTGCCATGCAGGAACTCCCAATCATGAAACTACACATCCCAGGATTCTGTAGCATGGAGTCATGGCAGTTAAAGTGGGGTCAAACTGCTTTATTTCTGCAGTGCAGATGCACCCTCAGACTTGATTTGCTTTTGAATTTGTGTTTTTGGCAATCCCAGGGTGCCCAGATGTCCAAACTACAAAGGAGGACAAGGGACTGCTAAAGGTAGGACCTTCAAGAACAATGGAGGACATGACCAAATTAAAACTAAAAACACTTACATAAATGCCAATTCGTGCTTCTTAGTCATGCTCAAAATGGAGGACATTTGGAAATTCCTCCTGGACAGAAGGCTGCAATGGAGGATGTGTCCTGGAAAAGGAGGACCTAGACAATCCATGGTATCTGTAATATTTGCCCAAAAAGACATTGTCTTGTGTTATCTTTGGTAGCCTTTTAACTATAAGCAGCAAAGGCAAGAGACTTTTTTATTCTTATTCTGGAACAGATTCTGCACGGATGTGTTTGGCTCATTCTGTTGGGAAAAACTACAAGATTAAATATTATTAAATTAAATTACGTATTATTGAATATTAGCCACTGAAGATGAGGATGATGTGAAAACATGTCTAGCCTTTGCTTTATTGAAGGCTTGTTTAGATCTATAGCCATCAATCTTCCTCCATTTAAAGATTCCTGCCCAAGAGATTTTCACATTCATCACTATAAAATTAAATGGACTATGCATTTATTATATATCTACTATTGTTTAGTAGATCTGTTGTTGTTGTTGTTGTGTGTTTTCAAGTCGTTTCTGAGTAATGGTGACCGCAAGGTGAATCTATCCTGGGGTTTTTCTTGGCAAGATTTGTTCAGAGAAGGTTTGCCATCGCCTTCCTCTGAGGCTGAGAGAGTGTGACTTGCCCAAGGTCACTTAGTGGGTTTCATGGCTGAGTGAAGATTCAAACCCTGGTCTCCAGAGTCGCAGTCCAAAACTCTGGCTCGCTCCAAGGTGAACTTATCACCGGATTTTCTTGGCAAGATTTCTCAATTTCTCTGAGGCTGAGAGAGTGTGACTTGCCCAAGGTCACCCAGTGGGTTTCTGTAGCTGACCAGAGATTTGAACCCTCGTCTCCCAGTGTCCTAGTCAAACACTCCAACCATTATTCATGCCGGCTCTTGGTGGATCTATTGTTAAATTCTAAACTTTTCTTTATTATAAATATATTCCATTCATTTTCTCCTGATTGTGTGTGTTTGCTGTTTACCCTTTTAATTGCCTCCAACGTTTCATAGATGAAAATCAGGAGATGTGTGCGTTATTATTGATTATTGATTATTGATATCCCCGGTCTAACCCAAGAAAGATAGATGTCTCGCCTCCAACTACCTCTAATTTTAGCTAATTTGTTATTTCTTCCCCTTTTAAATTGTATTTTATATTGCTGTTCATTTTATATTGTTATTGTTTTATAGTTTGCTTCTTTTTCTTTTTTATGATTGGGAGGGGGGTTGGGGGAGGGGATGATTTAGAAATCTGGTTTTATTGTATATTGTATTTTATTGTTATTCCTATTTGTTGTAACCCGCCTCGATCCTCAGGGAAAGGTGGGCTATAAATAAAATTTATTATTATTATTATTATTATTAATAAGGGAGAACAGACAAGCTTGGAGACGCTGCAGCAGTTTGCTTTTACCTGATCCTCCTGGGAAGTGCAGGATTTGGTCCTTTTCTTTCCTCGCCTCCTGTGAGTTGCATGCAAACTCCTTTTGCACTTTGTAACTCAGTTTGGAGCAATTGAAGCAAGTAGCAGAGAAAAGGGGGAAGGCGGGGGAGGAAAGAGGGAACTGGGGCATTTTAAAAGCAGATGGAAAGGATTACAGAGAACCATAGAGTCAGACAGTGAGACCTTCTTATCTGTTGGGGTTTGACTCCAGGACCCTTGTGGATGCCAAAATCTATGGACATTCAAGTCCCATTAAATGCAACAGATAGTAAAATGGCGTCCCTTATGCTAAAAGAGCAAAATCAAGGTTTCCATATACATATGGAAACCTTGATTTTGCTCTTTTAGCATATATACATACATATATATATATGGAAACCTTGATTTTGCTCTTTTAGCATATATACATACATATATACATATGGAAACCTTGATTTTGCTCTATTAGCATATATACATACATATATATATATGGAAACCTTGATTTTGCTC